TTATAGTACATAAAATTTTCAATTCTTGTTTGCTTGATAAAGTAACAATTGAGATTTAATTAATCCAATTGATTTTCATTATAAGTAATTAAATTTTAGTACATGAAAAAAATTATAGTAATTAAATCTTAATTAAATATTTAAGAAAATTCAAAAATAATAATTTGAATGACATGAGGAAGCATGTCAGACTTCAATGAATAAGCTGTGGCATCCATTCATACTAAAGGACCGTTAGTTTTTAACGGAATATTGACATAACTGTTAAATAAGGGCTGATTTGTCACTGTTCATTAGTTTAAGGGGTCATTCGCTACTGATTTCAGTTGAGGGGCTTTTTTGCCACCTCTTGACATGTTCAAGGGCTAATTTGCATAATATGCCTTTCAAGAAAAATAATTTTTTTTATAACTATTCTTAATTTGAATCCACTCAACAACTTTCTTTATTAACTTTTCTTAAATCAATTTCTAACCAATTATAATGAAGTTAATAATTCAATAAAATTTTATTATAAATTTAATAATTTTTTATATAATATTTTTTTAATTACTTTTTTAATAATTTTTAATGACATAATGATGATACCAAATAATTCTTAAGTAATTTACTTTTCCCATGTTATTATAGGTGAGAGTTATAATTGGTGCCTAAATACCAAGGAGTTTACGAGTGAGAGTTATAACTAGTGGAGACAAATTTATTTGTCTACTCATGGTACAAAAAAAATCATTTCACAATATGTAATTTACTTTTATCATTTTATTAAAATCTCATTACTCAAATTCCAAAACTAAGTGAATTATTGCTAAACTGCTAATTCATTCACAATACATAGAACTTTATGAATGAAATAAAAAAGAAATCAGCGAATCATTAAAAAAAATGTACTTTTCTGTATCAAATGAGGGAATTGAGAGGCGTAGTTTGTTGACTTAGCCAGCAGTTTCTCTTTCATGCATCATCATGTTATAAAATGAAAAATTATTTTGTTAGCTACGTGCTATATCTATTACTACGGCTTTTTAATAATGATTGAAGAACTAATTAGAACTTTGATTAAATTAATAATTATTTTTTTTTGAATAAATTATCAAGAGGTGGGCTCGAAACCCGTCCATGGGGTGAGGGAATGCATCTCAAACTGATAAATTGTCAATTGATCCGAAGGATCTGGTGCAAATTAATATTTATTGATTTAAAAATTTTAATTAAAAATTCAAAGCCCTGCCATTAAGTAGTTAATTATTCAATGTATAAAAAAAATGTGCAAAATCACCCCAAATTTTGTTTAGTTGGAATAAATACTCTTAAAAAAAAAAGAAAAAAAGGAAAAGGCGCAGTGCAGAATCATCCCTCAAATTATATGAAATTGTGATATCTATCAGTTTTAGCGAGGTTGGAAAAAAATGTCATGTAAACAAGTGGCTAAGGGAAAAGTCATGTGAATTCATATTATAAAAATGGTAGAGTGTGATAACATCATCCATTAATTTTGAGTAAAAATATTAATTTTAAAATTTCAGATGTGGTTTTATTATTGATTTCTTTACAAATAAATTTACTCTAACTACACAATTTCAAGAATGATATTTCTACTCTATGAATTGCATTTTAATATAGGAAGCTAGGGTAAAAAAATTTTCATTAATCTCTCCAAAGTCGTCGAACACTGGTCTGTAAAATTGGGAACAAATCCCTGCCAACTAGCTATCATCTCTTGAGTTGCTATCCTATTTAAGCTATAATCATGTAATTAAATCAAGTTTTTTTTATGTTTTATGCTTACATAGATATCAAGATATTATTAAATAACTTACCTAGATGGACATTATTATAAAAGTATAAATTATAATTCTATAAAGTTTAAATTATTGAATTTGCCAAGCTAAATTATTGAAATTATAAAGTAAAAATTAGAACGTTTTTCTATTTTAAATATCAAAACTTTTCATAAAATTATTTGAATATCTTTAATAAATTTTTTTTATGTTGATTTATTAAAAGTATTTTAATTTAAGTTTTTCATTATCATTTTTGACATTTTAGTTATTAAAATGTCTTGATTTTTCTCAATCTTATCTAAATTAGTGGCAATTGTTTCTTCATTTTTTTTGTTTTTAGAGAAAAAGGATTCTTAAATTCATAAAAAGTCTCCTTAATAAACCATGATGTTAAAAGTTCCTCTTTAACTTGTTATCATAGGTACAGTTATGGCTACTAATTATTTTGTTAAAGTTATCAAAAATGTATTTAATTTAATTAATATTTGTAATTTTTTAAATAGATAATTATGATATTTAAAAAATATGAATTTATAAATTAATTTTAATTTATTAAATAATAAATATCAATTATTCTATTAATTATTAATTATTCTTAACAATTAAATCAAAAAAATTTAGTATTTTTTAATAGAGTTTTGGTGGACTCAACAAAATAATTAGTGTCCATAGCCATATCAGTTCATTTGGATCCACCTAAATCGACATGCATATTTACTTTTAATAATGTGACAAATTTAAATTGATAATATACAAATAATACAATTGAAGAGGTATACTCATTATATGAAGGATCTTCTTAATATATATATATATATATATATATATGAAGATCGAAAGAAACGTTATTAGAACTGAGAAGAGGATAAGGAAACAATCGTGTAGTAGTTAGTTATGAGTTAAAACGTAATTTGTTGGATCACATGGTACCACAGATAATTGCTGACATGAAATTTAATCAAGAAAACAATGAAACTTTGATAGATAATAATTGTTATTCTTTTGTATAATTTACATCACATGCGGTCCATGATTTAAAGTAGCAATCTCGTAATATAGTAATAATTTTTTGGTAGATTTTGATGGAAGAGACATTTAATTTGGATAATAGAATACATCAATAGGGTGTATTAAAAGATAAAAGATGATTATTTAACATTTCACAACTTAAAATTAAAAAAATGAAATTCACATCACGTGTAAAAAAAAATACTATTATGTCTTTTATTGGATTTATAATTTTATAATTTACTATGTGTAAAATTATATATTTTACAATTATTAATAAAAAAACAACCTTTAATGTCATGGCTACCACCCCTTATCAATGCTTATAAGATGAAGTAACTCATCATTTTTGTATTTTTTTTGTTTTTGTGGTTTGGCAACTATAATCCAAGTCACTATGATCTTATTCGGTAAAAGATGTAAAGCCCATCTCTGATCACCAAACAGGCCCTGCAAAATGACTAAACTACCCTTTGTGGAGTAGAATGTAAAATCTAATATGGTAGTGGGTCAATCCAGACTAGAAAATCCATTGCAATTAAGAGCATTTGTTGGAATTCTGAGTTTTGGGACCCACATCTCTCATTTTTTGAATCTTTGTCTAATCAACATATTTTTTTAAGAAAGAAAGAAAAAAATTCTAATAAAGTAAACTCACCCTACTTTTTCTTTTTCAATTTCTATTATTATTATATATATATTTTTTGGAGTTTTGACCCGTATTTATTTTCTCCGGAGTCTCAAAACAATAGCTAGCTTCCAATCTTCTTGTTGTGATTTGTTCTTCATTTCTCCAATGAAGCAACCCACCACAATGTCATCATTCAGGAATCCTTTTTCTTTCCCTGTTTTAATGGTTTAGGTTTCGTTGCTTTTTCCCTCACCTCTCTTGACGAACACACTCTTGCGTTTGGTAGGTTGTGCCGTTGAGTGAGATGGGCCCTAAACTCCACTGAGGATTAATGGTGCAAAGGGTCTCTATCTCCTCTTTCAGTGCTGTATTTTGCCCCCATTTTCGGGCTGTCTCGCATTTCAGGCTTTTTGCATTTCCTTTTGGTTCCTGAGGGGAAAAAAGATAAGATTCTGGGGTTTCTGTTTTTCTCTCTTTTAAGACCATAGCAAGTTGTTTTATGAGGTTTTTTTTTATGTGGGTTTTTGATTTTGTACATGGGTTTTTGCGGATTATGTGGTAAGAATATTGGGTTTGCTGTGTTCGGACTTTGTTGACTGTGGTTTATCAGCGACGGCTCTGTAATTTGTTCATTTTTTTTTTTTTTTTGTGATTATTTGGGTCGTTTCTGGTTAAGATTGGTTTTCTTTTATGCGATATTCTGTTGAAGTCTTCAAGAAGTGGGTTTTTTGAAGATTGATTTTGTGGAGCTACTCTTTTGGAAATGAAATTATGAACTGGAGCAATGGCGCTGTGATCCCTTTTATATTTATGATTTATGTATGCTGAGTTGATGAACAATGATCGAGAGATAAAGTGATTCTGGAGGTTTGTTTTGGTAACTCTGGTGTTGGTTACTTCTCGAAGGAGGAAACATGGACAGAATGATTCAACCTCCTTTGGTGAGTTCTTTGTTATGCTTTAAACATTATCGTGAATTTGTTATATGTTATGTAATGATTGATGCTTTCGTTTCCACAGTACTTGATATGTGTGTGTGTTTTGGTGGTACCTGTTCAATATTTCCCTAATTTTGGATTGATCAAAACTAAATGGTTCATACTTTTCTCAGAAGTTGTAAATCAACTCTCTTTCTAATGTAGTGTTCTTTCTTATACTCTTGTTATAGATGGCTCCTAGTGTGAGTATCGATTAAAGAAGTCACTCTGGAAAAATGATCACTAGAAAATGCAATAGTTGGCTTGATGAATCTAGAAAATAATATTTCTGCCTTGTCTGGGATTGATGACAAATGCTTCTTGCAATTGAAACCATAAGCATGATCAAACTTGAAATGTGCATAATAACAAGTGAGGATGGGATCTTTGAAATTTTTATTAGAGGTAGAGAAAAAGAGTAGGAGAATCGCAGAATTGATTCTGAAAGTAACATGAACTAGAGTGGAGTTTTTTCCTTTATCTGCCAACATCTGAAGATCCTAACATGCTTGATGTTAATTATCTCAACTTAAAAAACTGTTCTCTTTTCTTAAATTTCTAGGATTTGCTGACACTTAAAACTTTGTATTCAAGGAACTAATCAGGACTGTAGATAGAAGAGTTGAGGTGGTTTCTAGTTAATATGATCTGTTTCTACTTCCTGTCTTAATTTCTTTATTTTGTGGTCAGAAGTTTATTGCAATCTCTGGTTTTTTCTGGGTTTCATCTTTATGTATGGATTCAAAGGAAGAGGCATCTATGTGTCATAAATTCCATTTGAGGTTTGAGGTTTAAGCTTTTTGAGTGTCAGTGGAATTGTCCATCATTACCAACTTGACAAGCCTTGCTGCATAAGCTCCAAATGCCTAGCACCGGTTGGCTTGCATCTTATCATATTTTTTATTTTTTTCTATTCATTATTGTTCATGCCTACAAAACCTTTTAACTAGTTTGATCTATGGTAAAGATTAGAAAAGACTTGTTCCTTCTTTTAAACATCAGCATATGAAAGTTGAAGATACCATAAAAGAGAAAGTATAAGAAGTGAAAAACAAACATATTCCTGTTCCTTGTTTTGAACTCCCTGCAAATGATCTAAATTAAACATGTTTGCTGCTCCCTATAATCAGAAAAAACAATAGATTAAATTTAGTGATTGAATTGCTAATTCTGTGAGATACCTATAGTCATTGCTAATGTTGTTACTGGCATAATGCATAATGTAAAGCTTCCTTTCTTCAGTATTAAAGGAAAGCAATGTGACTCAACCCACCTAAGCTTAAGCCTGGGTAGCTGTAATTATAAGCTTCTATTATTGCAGTAAGAAAATATCTAGAAAGAGAATTAATTTTATTTGTTTTTTGCAGGTTGATACAACAGCTTGTTTATGTAGAGTAGATGCTGGCCTCAAAACTGTTGCAGGTGCAAAAAGATATGTACCTGGTACAAGGCTTTGTCTTCAACCTAGCATTAAACCATCTATTCATCCAACAAGAAACAAGCCATCTCGTAGTGATAGGAGCCGTAACCAATACCCTCTGCTTCCGGGACTTCCAGATGATCTTGCTATTGCTTGCCTGATCCGGGTGCCTAGGGCTGAGCACCGCAAGCTCCGTCTAGTATGCAAGAGATGGTACCGACTTTTGTCTGGAAACTTCTTTTACTCACTCCGAAAGAGCCTTGGAATAGCAGAAGAATGGATATACATCATTAAAAGAGATAGAGATGGCAAAATTTCATGGCATGCCTTTGACCCCATATACCAGCTTTGGCAGCCACTCCCTCCTGTCCCTAAAGAATATTCTGAAGCCCTTGGTTTTGGTTGTGCTGTCCTTAGTGGCTGTCACCTCTACTTGTTTGGTGGCAAGGACCCATTGAAGGGGTCAATGAGACGGGTTATCTTTTATAGTGCCAGGACAAATAAGTGGCACCGTGCCCCAGATATGCTGCGCCGGCGCCATTTCTTTGGATCATGTGTCATAAACAACTGTTTATTTGTTGCTGGTGGCGAGAATGAAGGAGTGCATCGGTCATTAAGATCAGCTGAAGTTTATGATCCCAACAAGAATAGATGGTCTTTTATTTCAGATATGAGCACAGCAATGATGCCCTTGATTGGTGTTGTTTATGAAGGGAAGTGGTTCTTGAAGGGACTAGGACCTCATCGACAGGTTCTGAGTGAAGTTTACCATCCAGAAACTGACAGCTGGGGCCCTGTATATGATGGAATGGTCACAGGCTGGAGGAACCCAAGCACTTCCTTAAATGGGCACCTTTATGCTTTGGATTGCAAGGATGGATGTAAACTGAGGATTTATGACAAAGTATCTGATTCTTGGAGTAAGCATATAGACAGTAAAATGCATTTGGGTAGTTCTCGGGCTTTGGAGGCTGCAGCCCTTGTTCCACTGAATGGAAAGCTCTGCATCATTCGGAATAACATGAGTATATCACTGGTTGATGTTTCAAAGTCAGACCATCTAGGGGGAGCTACTGCTGAGAACTTATGGGAAAATATTGCAGGAAAGGGTCAGTTCAAGACTTTAGTGTCGATTCTTTGGTCCAGCCTTGCTGGAAGGAGCCGGCTGAAAAGTCACATTGTCCATTGTCAGGTTCTTCAAGCATGATACCCGTAAACTTTGTCCAGTTATATGGTTTTTCTTTTTGGCCAAGTCCAGTTATATGGTTTGCTCTATAGTTTTTATGCTCTTTTGGTATCTCTTAGAGCCGATGCAGTTGGAACTTGGAAGGCAACTAGCTTTCCCTGGGTGATCATTTTGATTCACACAATACTTTTTATCATCGGTTCTAATTGAAGCCAAAGGAGCATCTCTGTATTATTTAGCAGTTTTTGCTCGATTGTTAGTGTTACAAATATTTATATGAACACAGTTGTTTCTTTTTGAAAAATATACAACGTCCTACCTAACAGCCATATTTCCCTACTTTTTGAACTGCTATGACTGCCATTAGCAAACAATTGCAACTTAGATTCAAATTTATTTTAGATGGCAACTCGATTAGATGGTATGTTCACCAATGATTAATAATCTCCACGGAGACGACAGATGTGGAGCCAGCTCCATGTCGCCATCCCACTACTCTCATTGTGCCAGTGATCGTGCAATTTCAAGTACAGGCATTTGCCTCAATTTTTAGTTAGTCTGGCAACCAAGTATGGCAATGTACATGTTTCCTCCAAAATCCTCTCTTCTCAACCACTTGTGGTAAAAGTTGCTTAAATGCCACTTGCTTTGCTCAAAACAAGAAAAAAGGATTTCTAACAACTTTCACTTCTTCTAACTATAGGAACTTGTTTAAAAGTAGATGAAAAAATGCCATTTGATTAAATGATTATGCCAATAATACCTTGACTAGATAATTGTAATAGAAATGGGAGTGTATTTCTATATATAAATAATTACTTTGAGAGAACATTAAGACTTTTTACATCTAGGGTCATAATGATATTAGTTTGTTAAGCAAAATTGGTAGAAATAAGATAGAGGGAGAAAGAGTAGCAAAAATAAAGGATGTTCTAAGACTAAAGTAATGAGGGAAAATTAAATTAAAGAGTGTTGAAAATCTTAAAACTTAACTAGAATTGAAGTTAGCAAAAACTTAAACAATTAACTATCAATAGAAATGAAATAAAACTAAGATTTTTACTAAAAATTGAAGAAAAATTAATTACAATTAAAGACTAAAACATAAACTTGCTAAAAAATAAAAAATTGAATCTAGGCAACTACATAAAAATGTAAATTATTCACAAAAATATGAAATTTGCTGGTAGAAGAATAACTATATTAAATCTAATTGTTGGAGTTAATTTAACCAAAAATAACTAAAATAAAGAACTTGTTGAGAGAGTTGAACCTCTTCTACATTAAAAAAATATATTACATTGTCACTTTAAGAGCTATCTCTAAACTAAATTAACATTGAGTTAAGACACATCAAAATGTAGATGTTGAGAGGGGTACACTTGTTAAACTTTTCTTGAAATCTTGTATTTATAGGTTCTATAACTAAAGTTGTTGCTAGAAATTTGATCTAATCGTAATTTCCTTGAACTGCTTTTATCATGCTTAATTAAATCAAAGGAATTTCAATAGCTTTAAATCTTTTCTTGCAAAATAAAATTTTGCCACGTGTTATTTAACTTCCAGAAACAAAATTCTAATTGCTAAAAATCCTTAAAATCATGTTAATTGTAATCGTTTTTTATTTTTTATTTTTTCTCAATTAAACTGAACAATTTTGCACCATAACAACTTCCCAAATTTTGTAGAATAACTAAACTCTTCCTTTGATTTTTACCATGTGTTAGACATTCACTGCATCATAATTTCTGTTTATTTTAGACTACATCACAGCAAATCATGGTCATTAATCATTTTTTGAATTTCCAATTATATGAAAAAGCTGTGACTATTATAACTCCATTAAGGACACCTGAGTGACATTATCAAGAAAATTATCAAATGCAATGTAAACAGTACACAAATGAAATGAACAAAAATTATAAAAAGTACCAATTCAAATATAAAGAAGGAAAAAAAAAAAAAAAACTTAATAAAAAAATACGTGTTACATGTATCATGCAATTATAAAAGTGATAAATGGGGGAATCTGAGATTCTATTATTTCTTCTAATTGTTATATGAGCATCTTTCTCATCAATGGGTACAAAAGAATATTATGCAAGGCTATCAAGCAGATACACAACCCGCTAACAGTATGTTGAACAACAATTTTAACTTGTTCCAGATCTTGATAGGAAAGATTGTGCAAGGGAAAAGCACGTCTCCTTCTGCTTTTTGTACTCATTGTAGCGAAGGAAAAAGTAGCTAATATAATCGAAGTCGATAGGAGACATCTTTGCCTACAAATAATAGAAATGGAATGAAATTAAAGTAGATGGTAGTGGTATTTAGAGTTTGACAAACATAGATAGAGCCATAGAGTGATAGGGATACCTGAATCAGTGCCCATAAAGCCCAATACAAGTGCCCAGCCAGCATGAATGTATTTGCCTCAACATAGAGAGCTTCAAGGTCATTTTCAGAGACCTGTAATGTAATAAAATAGCTAAGGTGATGAGATTTCTCAAACTGCAAACATTAACACATCAGTAGGATGTAAGGTGTAATATATGACTCAAACATGTGGCCTAAATCATATTTCTTGTTTGAAGTGCCTATTCAAAGTTTAGATTTAATTTCACTGCGTTATCCAGTCTCAGCTATCAGGTAAAAGTAATTAAATAATACACAGATGCACAAACATGAACGCATTTTCACACATGCTGGTAAAAGAGTAAGATAAATCATGACCAAAACGACGTTCTAAAAGAAAGACATAAAACAATGAAACAGACATGTACTCATATCTTGAATAATTACACATAAAAGATAGGCCATAGTAGTTCAGCAATCAAGGCACAACTGAAAATTTATCTTTTGCCCCCAACCGCAAAAAGGGTCATCACTATGATGAACCTTCTTTCTAAGAAACCAAAAAGCAGATGACCCCCATATGAAGAACCCAAAAGAGAGAAATATGGAATTAGGAGCATTTAAAACTACCACCAGGTAGAAAACACTTCTGGTAGCCCTTAGAACTTTCTTCTGGTTTAAATTGTGGCCAAAGGATATCAGTGTATCTCTCAGAAAAAGGGCACTTATGTGAACGGTCAATTTTCTACCAAGACAAAACAGAAAGCATTATGTAATTCACAGCAAAACTTAACTGCAGAATGTAACATCCCAAGAATGATAAACCTAAATGAAGCCTATATGCTATAGGCAGCAAAGAAATAGTTAGAGACTTATAGTAGTATTGTATATTCTTTGTCTACAGTTCCAAAGATTTTACAATTAAGCTCTCTTATCACACAAATCACATGAGAGAACATGTGTAATTCCCCACTTTAATCAAATCAACAGTGCTAGCATGGCATCTTCACAGCACACATACAAGGCTCCAATACTTACCGTTTATAACAAAAATTTCATTATCCCTATCATACACAGAGATTAAATTCTCAATTTTAGATGTCTTTCTTTGGAAAATTTGTCAAATTTGAGAGGCCCGGTTAAGTTTTCATTTAAACTACAAATGCAATACCAATCCTTACATACCTCATGTGGTTTATCAGGTTGTAAATAATGCCTGAAGAAATGGTTCTGTTCATCTTTATTTGGGCACCTACATCAAAACCACATTTCACAAAGAACCTATCTATTAATTTTGGAACTAGATAAAGAGATAAAACAAAGTAGAAAAGGAGAATACAAAACATACAAGCTATAGTCACACTCAAAGCCTGCATATTCATTGAAATGGTTTCCGATGTCAAAGCCTCTGTAGTTGTATGATCCATACTCAAAATCAATGAAATAAAGCTTCTCTGGACATTGATGAAATAAACAATGAAGTCACTGCAAATCGTGATAATAACACTGAAGAAAGATATTGGCAACCGAATGAAAGAAATTAGTTGCTAAAAACAAGTATCTAATGGTCCCTCTATAAGCTACTGTAATAGTTAGTAGTGATTCCTAAGGATATTCTATCCTCTTTAAATATGATGCTTAACCTAAGCATAATTCCTAGGGTTCGTCTGTTTTTCTTCCTTCTTTATTCACCCCTATCATTGCTATCAACTCGTTTTATCCCTAAAAATGCAAGAATCGTCATACCTAAACCTTTCCCATATCATGAAAACTTAAGGATGGTAGCAAATCATTTCAATTAATGTAAAATCTGAATCTTAGGTTGATCCCACAATGAACAAGGCCTACAATGAAAATCTCATTTAAACAACTTCCTGTGATGACAAAAGTCTGATTGCAGTCCATCAACATCTGTCAGATAACACCACGTCATTTCTAGTATATCATGTGGTGTCCATGCTCGATAGCATGACAGACACTATATTTCTTAGTTAGCCTAATCTACAATTAACTTCTTTAGGTAGTCCTAAAATCTGGAAACATATTTAAAATTTAAAGAATGTATTCAAGAATTCCTTAAGAAGCTCTTTGATCTGTAGTGCTTGCGTTTCAACTGTAAAAATCACTAAGAAAAGATTATATCCACAAATTACATTGGCAGAGTCCTTAGAGAATCTTCTGTGAATGATGCCTTAATCTTCATAAGAAGATAAAAAAAAAAAAAAAACACTCTTAATTTTAAAGTTTCTGCTATACTAGCCAATGCAGCTATGCCAATAAAATTTCATACTTCCATCTCATTATCCATTTTTTTTTTCTTTTTGATAGCATGTTATCTCATTATTTATCAAGGCTTCCTTGTAATATATATCTCATATTTTGAGTCACTGCTAACAAAATTAGTGTTTGCATATGTGTGAATTATGAGAGAGTAAATAGAAATTATTATAAACAAAAATAGGAATAAGGGAAAACTACAGAAGGTCCACAGACAAAGTTTAAAGGCAGTAACTCAGCATTAGATGCATGGTTGCACACACCACTTGTGGGTGCACATGCACCAAGATAGTTAAAAATCCATGGGAAGTATGGAAAATGTCTGCCATGACAGTAACAAACCATTAAATTTATTTCTTTCGTACCTTCTTCTTCATTTACCATTATATTTCCAGAAAGCAAGTCATTGTGAGCAAAAACCACTGGAGATTTTAGAAGGCCTGTTAATTCCTGTTCCATTATCAGGAGAGATCATTCATAAATAAGAAAAAAGTCCTTAATCATGTGAAAAATCAATGTACAATCAACATATGTCATATGATAAACCTAAAAGCAAAGAGATAAGTTCTAATGATCACCACCAGAAAAATTCAATGTACTTTGCATACATTTTCTTCAACTTCCCTTGTATACATAAGGGTGGCCCAATAAAGCCAAATAGAGAAAACCAATTATTACATCAGCATTTCATTATTTTCAATGTCTCTGGAAAAAATAAAGACAGCTAACACATAAGAGGCAGAGTGAAGCAACATTATTTCTATCCTTCTACATTTCAAAAAGACAGACAAATTGCTAGCAACAAGGCAACAAGGCAACAAGGCAACAATTAGAAAGAAGTAATCTATGAAAAGAGAGTTTACCTTGAGCTCCAGAAGTTCCTTTTTTACTTCCTCAAACGAAACTGTCTCATAAATCCTCTGCTTATCAATATCTTCAAAGTGAAGAGTGGATGCTGCAACGTAAGGTGGCACCTAAAACATTAGATACAAATTCTGAAATGAATGAAAATCAACTAAAGCAAAATTGAATGAACAAACAGATAATGAAGCAAGTGAAATTTGAAATCAGTCCATTGCATATACATTTTAGCCACAGATATCGCAAACCAAGGACATGCCAGATCACACACCTTTCTCAAAGAACTTGAAGATGTCAATCCACAGCTGAGGTTCTTTAGAACCTGGAATTTCCGCTTGATGGAATTTATGAAGTTGCTTTGCAATTTCAGCAGCCAGCTTTGGCTTTCTCATGTCTGCCAGGGGATCAAAAGAAGGTATAAAATAGCACTAGACAGCTTATGCCAACAAAAGCATGAAACATGCATGTGTTTATTTCAGTTGACAAAGCAGTCAAAGCTGTCACCAACCTCTATTTATCTATGTCACAGTATTACTTAAGAATCTCATCATAAATACGTAATCACATGGAAAACCACAACTTCAAGAGAGAAAGACAGAGAACCATCTTAAGCAGACTAATGTGTGTGGAATGCTTGAATTAATGCAATGGGTTGAAGAAATCAACATAAGAAAATAGGAAAAATGACCTCTTAGATACTCTAAGACTCTGGATGGAATCAAAGGTTGATGCTTTACTTTTAAACTGCTAACTTATGCCATGGATCAGCCAATATGTAATTTCAGATGGTTTTCTTTCTACTCCAGTGCTTTATTGTCTATACTATCAGTTTTCATTAATTGACAACAGAATTCTGTATTCACTGACTTCCCTTAGAATAGCATCCAATGATGAAGTATTGAAATTTATTTAGGGTGAACTACAACTGCTGTGAGTGATAATAATAAATTATTGTCAGTGGTGAAAAGAACACAACTATATTGGTAGCTCCAACTCCATAAGTCCATGTACATGAAATTTCTGACGCTAACCTGATGGGGTTAAGGTACGTGCATTGATAAAAGATTGCACCATGCCATTTCCAAAAACTCCGAGTAATTTGGCACCAAAACCGGCTGCTGAGAGGTACTTGATGGCCTACAGATAGCAGGCAGTCACAAAATAAGCATTCAATTATAGGTTATGAACTAAATAGAAAAAGTGAAAACAAAAGGCAAATTAAAACAAACCATGAGCTGCACAACTATAGTGAGACAAACTCAATAACAAAATCCTTCTTATCACAGCAGGCACATATATGTGTATGAGGCTTTTCAAAAATGAAGGACCAACCACCAATTTCATTTGCAACTGCATCTTACTCATCCAGAAACTAATTAAATTATTCATAGAATGTGATAGTTCCACAGAAGGAAATACTCAAGGTTGTTTAAATCATTAAACTTATTAAGTCGGATCTTCTGGAAGCATTTCTAAAACAAAATTACATAACAAAAGCTGTAAGCTTATGGAAATACCTTTAGTTCCCGTTGTCGATCAATGACATATTCCGTGTTAGGCCCATAAAATCTGACGGTCACAGACACATTGTTTCCATTTTCTTCCGTCACAGAAACCTTAAGCACTGCATCCGTTAATAACTGATTCATGCATACAAATCAACTTGTCCAAAGATTAAGCAACCAAGTCATACAATTCCAAAAGGAATAAGCAATTGCAAACCGAGCAGATTAAATTTAGGAGCTCGAACTTAGAACAAACAATCTAAACAGGGAGGAACTGAGGAATCACAGTTTTATTTAGCTTTTAGATGCAAGAATGAAGAACGAAGGAACATAAAAAGGCACTCACGCAAATTTGTGATGCCACCAGATACGGTCTGCACCGAGAAGCGAGAATCATCCAGCGTCGCCCAATTCTTGAACAGATCCTTGCACAAGTTGCTGCGGACACGTCGAGGGGTAAAATGTCAGGGAAAACAAGAATACAAACAACTTATCTCCTAGCTAGCCACCTGAGCTAGGCCAATGGAAAATCGAAGATCCAAAACAATATCAAACTATAAACGAGGAAAAAAGGAAAAGCTAAGAAATGGAACAGAAAGACGAAGAAGAGAAACGAACATGACGCGAGGAGTCATCTCCGGGAGGGAGAGGGAGGCTTCGACTGTGAGAGAAGAATACGGCACGTTGTCGCCGTTGGTAGAGTTGCTCAGTTTAGCATCTTCCATGGCGTTGAAGGTCTTCGGTACTGCTCCCATTACGTTGAATCTTTGTGGTATCGCTATTTCAAACGCAATTAAAGAGTACTTTGGGGGCTCCGCTGGTGCCGGGAAGTCCTGAATTTTAATGGGTGTTTTTTGGGCGGTGGGTTCAGCGTGAAAAGACGAGTATAGGCTCCGATATTTCTGTCCAAGATTAGTATGTAAATGGGAAAATATTATTTTATTTTGCCGGTTACAAACTTGAAACTAAAAGTTAATAATAAAAAAGAGTACTTATTATTACAAGAAATCCTAATTCAGTTAATTTTTAATTTTACATTAACAAAAATCTATTTTTTTATTTTAGATTATATAATGAAAAATCATCTTTGTTTGATCTCTTAAGCCCCTTTTAAACCACTTCACTTATAAGTTTTGTGATTTAAATTTAAAATTTTTATTTTTATATTAAAAATTATTATTAGATCACATAAATATTATTAATAAAAATTTTTTTTTAATAAAAAATTGATATTTTTATTGATAAAGTAAAATTGAGATTACATGAAATCTCTATGTAAAGCAAATATAGCTTAAAATTAAAGCATA